GCGCACACATAATCTTCAGAATTAGCATTTTGTGCCTTGCAGTACCTTGGGGAGAAGAGCTTTTATTTGTGGAGTGATCATTATTATAACAAAGAAGAGCTACCTAATAATTTCCACTTTAACTCTGCAATGTGCCACGAACATTTCAGAGCCATTATGCTAAACTGTGCTGGGGTAATCATGTTATTGTCATAGTTTGAAGGAGAGAAAATCTCCTCTACTTTGGTGGCTGGGATGGGGGTTAGGAATAATGTTTTTTGTTTTTTTCTTTTTAAAGACCAAAAAAAAAAAAAAATCAATAGCAAATACTTAGGTTTTAAATGAGGAACTAGCATGCTATAATGTCTTATGGATACTTGGAGTATGAAAATTCATTAACGAAAATCTTTTTTTTTGTTAATTAAATCAAAGATTTTGTTGGAAAAAGTGATTTTGAATATAAATACCACCACTGCTTCTGCCATTCCAAAATATTTTCTCAGAGATAGAATTGTATTGATTATTACATCCTTGGGCTGGATTGAACTCTTCTATTAATCTCTTCACTTTCAAATCCTACTGAATCCATCCATGGTGACTATTAAAAGCAATATTTTCCATCTTCCTATTGCATCTCTCTGTGTATCCCGAGTGAAAGATAAAAAAGTCTCTACCTGCTGTGGGTGTGCTCTGAGTTTCTCAGAGAAAACTTACCCAGAAAGAAGAGGAAAGGAGGGGCTTGGGGGTCTGGGAGCATAGCTGTTTGTTTTCTTTCTTTCTTAAAATTTTTATCAGTAGGCTCTAAAAAGTACATATGCTATCTCCTGCAGTAAGACATGGCTGTTATTTAGTGTTTTTATTATAACATGTTACCTTTTTAATTAAAATATTATCAAGGTATTCTGTGTACTCACTGAAAACATTTAAACCATAGAGATAACACAATTCAAACCATACAGAGTAAAACTTAGTAGTTTCACCTTCTCCCTTGGCCCCTCCCTAATTATAGCCCCTTTTCATAAGAGCACCAGAGGGGAGGTGGTATACATCATCCCAGACCTGTGACTGTTATACCTGTTCACACTTAACTCTACAAACACACACCCTGCCAATGTATATACAGGATCACATATATTATTTTTTTAGGAAAATAGAATTACACTATTAATTTATTTGGGAGTGTGGTGGCTCTGTACTATGAGCACTGAACTGCAAGCCACTAGGCAGGTGGTTTGAGTCCACCAGTCATGCTGCAAGACAAAGGTGAAGCTTTACAGCCTTGGAAACCCTATACAGAGTTGCTATGAGTCAGAAGGAACTCAAAATAACATTAATTCATTTGTAAATTGCTTTTTTCAAATACCAATGCCAACATTTTTTCTCTTTCATTCTAATGACACTCTTTGCATTCTACAGCATGAATATCTGTAATTTATATAACTGTTCCATTACTGGGGGGGGGGGTAGTGTACACAGATTCTGTTGAAGGTGTTGCTGTCATTACTATAGTAAGCATTTTGGAAGCTGTAGTTTGGGCCATTTTGGCAACTATCTCCTGTTCTGCTTTTAGCCTGCCAAGTTTGTTTGGAATTCTAGGACAGAATTGCAAAATGGCGGCCTATGAGTTGCATCTTGCCCATTAACATTTTGTTTAAACTATAGATTAAAAAATATATATACTGGGTTAGTGACCAACTTTTAAAGGTTATGAAATTGCACATGTGAATCTAAGTTTCTAACTTCTTTGTATCCTTGGTAGCTTAGTGGAGTATGAGCTGGGCTGCTAACCACAAGGTCAGCAGTTCAAGTCTACCAGTCATTCTGCTGTAAAAAGATGAAGCTTTTTGCTTCCATAAAGATTTATTAACCTTAGAAACCCTATACAGGGTCCCCATGAGTCAGAACTGTCTCAATGGGACACAACCATCACTACCACCATTTGGCAGATAAGTGGATCAGAACATACTGGGCCAGCATTTGTGTGGGGTGACCCCACTGAAGCTGAGTAGCATCTGCCAGTTACAGATGTGACGTGCGCTTTGCAATCACCAAACATCACCATGATTTCCCATTGCTTCTTCTAGTCTATGGGGTATCTCAGGCTGTAATCTTTGTAGAAGCAAATCACCAAGTCCTTCTCCCATGGAGCCTCTGGGTGTTTTCGAAGTAACAATTGCATAGGGCTCCTTTTAGTTAGCATAGGGGTTACCAGTTGGGCTGCTAATCTCACAGTCAGCAGTTCGAAACTACCAACCGTTCTGTACGAGAAAGATGAGGCTTTCTATTCCCATAAAGATCTACGGCCTCGGATACCCTATGCAGGGTCGCTAGGAGTTGGAACTAACTCCACAGCATGTAACCACCACCACCTTTTAGTTAGTCACAGTATTTTCCAACTTCCATGATTGGCATTTTGGCTTTCCTAATTTGGGGGACTATGGCAGGCATTGCCAGATATTTAGCCTTCTTGATACCGAGGTGCTAAATGCCAGTGGTACTCCTCTCTCTAAATGAGACAACCCACAGTTGCCCTACAAAGTTTTCAGACTTCCCAGTTGGAAGTATCACTGAAATTCCTCTCAAGGGAGATGCAGTGGATGTAGAGGTGACCTTTAGAATGCTTTCAGATCTCAAGTTTGAAAGGGGTTCTCCATGGTTTGTCTGTTCAAACAGTCTCTGAGCAGAAATAGCCAATGCTGTTGAGTGTAGTGATAGGGTGGGTTGAGGAGTGTATCGTTGTTTACCCGAAGTACCTCTTTCAATACTTTTTGTCTCTGAAGACTAAGAAGATAATGTTACATATCACTAGGTCCTTTGGAAGCTTGATGTTCTTTCTTTTCTTTACTTTTTTTTGGACTAGTGGACCTGTAAAGCTTTGTTTCTGGATGGCTGTACGCAGATTTTGAAAACATTACTACTTGCCTTAAGTAGTGTTTGAAAATACACACACGTTCACACACATTCTTACATGCCTTTTGTGTACCACAAATAACAAATAGAGAGGAGAGGGAAGGGATCAAGTTAAAACCAGCAGGTTTTGACCATGTTATTATAATGTCTTTGCTGTCAGCCAGTCTTTCAAAACCACATGAACACACCCTTCTGCATTCTTCTGAGCAATAGTAAGAAAGCCTAGTAGAGACTATAATTAAAGAAATATGGTTGTGTGATTGAAAATGAAAATGAAAATGAAAAGATACCCTAATACTAACATGCATAATAGGACATCCAGACAACCCAGTCATGGAGTTTAATGACATCATTGCATTTCACACTTTGTCATCAGGACTGTTGTAAGACCAGCTCAGTTGAACTAGTATCGCATTCTCAGAAGTATCCAGTTTTTCTATTCTGCTGTAATTGCTCAGTGTACTGAGTTAGAACTTAAGGACTTTGGAACATTGACTAAAATGCTTTCAAACAGCTTATATTTGAAAAAAAAAATCATTCATCGTGCTGACGTGTAGTTTTATTTTACTGGTAGATTGCTTGAAATTATCTACCATAATTCACCATTCTTTTGGGGGTTACTCAATCATACACTGAAACATTTTTACTTTAAAGAAAAATTTTGTTGAAGAATAAATCCCAGGTTTTTGGAATATTGATCACAACCTTGAAGTGTATGACAAATTGGAAAAGAATTTTCAAATCATGAGTCATTTATGTTTTCTTGATTAATTATTTTGTTTTCGGGAGAATGTGAAGGAGAGAAAAGGCATGTGAGCTGTCCAGTTTTTGTTGCAAATGTATTGCTATGAACTCAGCCAACTTGAAGTGTTTAGTTTGGATGTATCCAAACTTCTCTGTGTAATTTTATAAGATTAATTTGAATCAAAGCCCATTCTCCTTGTTTGTGTGGTGGCAAAAGAGCGATAGTCCCACTGGGCTGGGCTTAACATTTTCTTTTCTTCTTGCAAAAGTTAGAGTATGACACACTGCCTAATTTAACAAAGTACAACTTTTTTTTTTTTTTTGATGCCATTATTTTTTTGTGTTAAAATTAAATGGTTCTCTCACTGGGTTCGATACTTGGAAAGTCAGTTATAGATACTTAATACGTTATTTATTAATGAGGAGGGTCTGATTTTGTCTTCTTGCATAATATCACCTTGACTTAGAACTTTGCTTTGCTGCTCTTTATAAAAATGATTGTGAGAACAGCAGCGTGGCAGTGTGGAGTAATGAATTCCTTGGTAGCACCTTGAAGGTGCCCTCTGAAAGGTTTCAAAGACATGATCCCATACCTTAGCAATTCTGTTGAAAGTACATAGACTTAACTGTGCAGACTACTTCCACTCACAGTATTTACAAATATTTCCCATCTCCGAGTGCCAGTTATTATGGAAACAGAAGATATATGACATTTTGAAAAAGTCAGTTCTAGCATTTAAAGCTTGGGAAAGACAACAAAGCATAGAATTGTGGACTCTCTGTGGTCAGCCCTGACTCAGCTATTTGATTACACAATTCACCCTGAGTGACCTGCATTCTTTGAATCTGTAAAATGGGATCCATGGCGTTTATTTGAAAAACTCTTAATGGTTTCACATGAGAAATGTTGCTATGTCAGTTTAATAGATAGAAGGCACGAAACATAATTTCCTGCCCCATCTCTTTTCTTTCTTAGTTCCTAATGAACAGAAATGTTTATCTAAAAATGTGTGAATTTTCTCTTCAGTAGATATATTTTTGAAATAAATATATAGGGCTTCTAGTATGTTCCCCAAAGTCACCTATTTTTAAGAATCTTTATCTCCTGGGATTTCAGGTGTGATAAAGATGTTTTGGGGAAATATATGTATTCCTAATAGAAACAATGAAAAGGATGCTTTGAAAATTGAAATTGCACCCTTAGGTTTCAGGTCCGACTGCAGCTAGGAAATGCTGAGATGTTGAAGGGCTCTCTGTTAGTGAAAAAGATAAAAGATTTTTTTTTTTTCTTTTTCTCAAGTCTCCCATCATTAAAGTTTGGTTCTAACAGCAGACTCCTTCTCTTTTTCATGTGTGTTGAAAAGCAGCTACTCCCTGTATCAAAGCCATCAGCCCGAGTGAAGGATGGACGACAGGAGGCGCGACTGTGATCATCATAGGGGACAATTTCTTTGATGGGTTACAGGTCATATTCGGTACCATGCTGGTCTGGAGTGAGGTAGGTGTTGTCTGAACATTAATATCTAATAGCTTGGTCTAGTTGAGGATACTGTCTACTCTTAAATTTCTAATAGTGTGTAGAATTTAGCAGTGCCACTCTGGGTGGCCCAGCCCCAGTCTGTAGAACTCTGGGGCACTAAAAATGATAGGTAGGGTTTACCAGGAGATCACACTTTCTACTAGACCAATTCCCATCCTCGACCTTAAATGTGATGGGAGAGCTTCTGTTTTGTCCTTTTTCCTCTTGGGTTTGCCATGGAATGAGGGTTCTCTTGAATAGTGGGAACTGGAAAGGGTATGCAAAGTCATGTAATATTCAGGATAAGGATTATTGTTATAGTTAAGTGCCGTAGAGTTGGTTCCGACTCATAGCAACCCTGTGTAGGGCTTCTGAGGAGCAGCTGATGGGTTTGAACTGCCAACCTGTGCTTCGCAGCCCAGTGTTGGTCCTACAGCGCCACACCAGGAGTCCAGGATAAGGATAAGCCCCAGTTGAACTTCAGCAACGTATAGTAATCTGCATGATGTGTAGACAGAGTCTACTGTGGGCTGATCATCAAGGAGCACCATTGAAATGGTAGTCATAATCCAGGTGTATGTGGTTCTCAATGTAGTTAGTGACTCTTTATCAGAGAGTAAGTGATTTGCCTAGAAAAGGGCCACTGGGGAACCATTTTTCTGCAAAATTTATAGCCTTATTTGTGGGCTATACAAAATTATCCACTTACAAATTAACCTGTTATATTTGGTCAAACATTTAATCAACTCACCCTAAATGGAATGTTTGTAACTGCAGACCAAATGATTTCGAGGGAGTCCTGGTATGGCACTGTGGGTTAATGGACCAGGACTGCAAAGCTGTTTGAACTTCAAGGTCAGCAGTTCATGCTCACCAGCTGCTCCTCAGAAATCCTATTCAGGGTTGCTATGGGTTGGAACTGACTTGACGGTACTTAACAACAATAACAACGTATGGTTTGAGGGTCGGACATTCCCCACCCCTGGTCTAGAAGAATCCAAGGCTTTTTCCAAACATGGGTTTCACTGTTCCCAGACTTGGCAGCTATGGAGTGGCTGAAGTTACACTATGCCTTCCAATCACGATCATTTTGTAACTTGCCATCTGTCTTGTCAGGTAGCAACCAGTACTAGCTCAAGATGACAAAACATAAACATCAGCATTATATAGATGCCATGGCAAACTTGCCTGTGCTTAATAGTGAACCTACATTTCTCAGTCAGCATGCCCAAAGCCTTTCCCTTTTACCTCACCAGAGTTTAGAATAATCACAGGGCTACAAGGCACCCTAGAATGCTTTCATCCCATTTGTTTTACAAGAAGTCATATGAATCACTAAACTTTACTGAACATCTATTATACTTCACGCACTCTGCTGAGCTCTTGACATAAATTACATTAATTGTCTCTCTACTCTCTAAGCTAAATTCGCTTGTTGTTGTTGTTGTTAGCTGCAGTTGAGTTGGTCCCCAACTCATGGTGCTCCATGCCCAGCAGAATGAAATACTGCCTGATCTTGCACCATCCCATGATTGGTTGCAGATTAGAATGCTGTGATCCACAGGGTTTTCACTGACTGATTTTCAGCGGTAGATCACCAGGCTTTTCTTCCTATTCTGCTGTAGTCTAGAAGTTCTGCTGAAACCAGTTCAGCATCATAGCAATGGGCTTTGCTGACAATGCACATGAGATGCATCAGTCAGAAATTGAACCTGCTCTTCCACATTGAACTTCCATTGGTTCCTTTTCTTGAGTATACTAAGACTCAGATATGCAGAGTTTCATAGCCAGCAAACAGTTGAACAGTGCCCATAGAACTTAAATGATCTGTATATGGCCATCCAATGAAGTCAGTAGTAGAACTGGAACTAGAACTCCCAGTTTCTATTTCCATTTCTAGTTATCATCCCATAATGCCATTGTATAGCCCATCTAGATGCTTAGCTTGAGTTTTCTCTTTACAGGGGCCACAGAGATGAGCACAGAGTTATTAAGCCTGTGATAGTTGAGTATGTTTATCTTTCCAAAGCAGAGCCTGTCCTTTTCTGTAAGCCTTGTGTACTTCTCATTGCCAACAACCCACTCAGACAAGTCCTGTGCCAACATATGCTGCCTCTGCCTTTGTTTTTCCCACACAGCTAACAAGTGATATGCTCTTGGCCGGAGAATCAAAGCTCTTGTAAAGCTAAATCAAATATGGGCTTCTCTGTCCACCCATCTAATTGTTGTCCAAGTTGGAACGTCCCAGGCATGATAGGCTGAGCTCCCCTTGCCAACTGCATCCATTTCTTTATTGTAACCATTGAGTTGTGAATTAGAAGCATCATATTCATAGCACATTTTGTTACCACATTGGTGTCTTCATTCCTGCTGATTTGGCTACATGTGTGATAGCAGTCTTCACAAGGACAGCCTCCATCAGGTCTGGTGGGCTGTATCTTCATCACTCTCTATCTCGTTTCCTGGTGCTTGCCATGGAAGTTGGGAGAGGGACTAAGAACATAATGTTGACTTCTTGCTTCATGTCACTATTGTCAAAGTGAGACCTTTAGAAGTGGTTTCAGACTGTAATTTGGAATTAGGTCTATTGACCCTCTGAGAATTAGGTAGGTTAGTCTGAAACTTCCTTTATAACTCTTAACTGTGTTAGCCCAAGTAGACTGTATTGGGTATAAAATAAGCACTTCACATATTAGGAAATAATTAATTCAAGGCTTATATTTGATAGAACCAAACCTTGATACTATACATATTTAGGAGATGAAATATATATAAACACACTGGAAAATGCAGATGTGACTAACAGGAGCTAATATTCATTGAACACCTTCGTTTCTGCCAGGCACTATGCAAAGGGTTTGGGCTGGCTCTCTTGCATTCTTTTCAAATTTATATAAGCTGTTTCCATTTACTGCCTAGGAAATGGAGACGGGAAGAAGGTTCAATAAGTTACTCAATTGTCAAGGGGTGGAGATGGGATTTGAATCCAGACAGTCCAACTCCAGGGCTTATCTTTATTAAAATTCATGGTTTAGCCCACACCAAGATTTTTACCCTAGGGTAAAAATCAGACCACAGTGTTATGCCTACTGTTGTCTTCTGTGCCTTATGGTGGTGGTATCTTGACAGCTACTATCATCTCCCAAAGTAAAGTAGACTTGGCATATAGAGAACCGCAGAATTTGAGAGTGATCTCTTTGGTTTCTAACTATATATGTGTGGTTTGAGTCACTGGCTTCTAGGAGGACTTTATCCTTATGAAGTGTAAAGAGAGCATAAGTGTCTCTTGTGCTAGAGACAGAAGACAACCTCTCCCTTTGCTTGCTTTAGTGACCATGGGCAAGACAAATAATTTGTTTGGGCCTCATCTCTAGATTGTGACCTCTATTTAGTCAAAGTCATTGTCCCTGGACCAAATGATTACTTGAGGTTATGCCACCTTTAAGATCCTGTACTTTTGAATTCTAAGAGGACTTTGATCTCTTCTCCATTTCTGTACTTGATAGCCCAGGGCACCCAGGAAGCAGGCTGTTGAGCTAGGACAAGCAGATAACATTTTAAATTAGTAGCTGATGCTATTATTTGGAGTCTTTTTTTAGCTAAAGAATTTTTAAAGGCAGAGAAAATAGGGCTGGCTTAATTTACCCTCATCTGTGTTCTTCCCCTACCAACCCAATCTTTTGCAAATGAGTAGTTCAGTTTAGCTCACTGATTGCCCCCTGAGGGATGGGAAAAAGAAAGGTGGCACTCCATTGCTCCTAACTGAGGGCTGCCTTCTGCAAGCTCCAAGTTCAGGGTGAATCACTTGACTTTCTTGGGAATTTGGTCTGTTGTCTTTGCTATGCTTTCTTCATGGTTTCTTGTTCTTTCTCCTTGGCTACTGTCTAGAAATTAAATTATTTCACTGATAACTCTGTGCTCCTTACCCTACCTTATTTCAGTAGACTTTTTAAAACTCTGTAGAGTTTTATAGGTAGATTCAGGAAAACCAATAAGATTGTGTGTAATTTTTAATGCAACATAAGTGTTTCTTGATCAGATAGCCACTTGATTGTTCTTATTCTTCCCCACCAACATTTGATATAGGGCAAGACAGTGTTCATGCTCAGGGTCTGTAGAGCTAATATTCATTTTAGTATCTCCTTCTGAATTCCTTTAATTTCTAAACAATGAGTACTGGTTGACTTGCCTGCTGGGTATATAGCACTGTTATGAGTACTATGGGGCTATTAAGAAAAATTTGGTCTGGTGGGATTTGACATTTTATTTGGAAAGACAATTTGCTCCTATGAAACAAATTAGAATGTTATATAATGTGTTTATAAAATCTAGTATTACATTTGTGGTTTAGAATTCAAGGCAAGATTTTAGAAGGCAGAGAGAGTGCCATAGTCAGAAGTAGATTGTTCACAGAGGTGAAAATATACTATTGTACTATGCATTTTAGATTTCCACAATCCTTTTACTTATTCATTGACATGTCTGTGGTAATTCACATTGTTTAAGGTATTTAAGCTGCCTTTAAAGGGAGCACTACTGAGTGGTTGATGGGGAGCAAGAGGTGGCAAAAACTGTAGACAATATTTTAACCAAGGATATAGGTCCTATGGAGCACTTGTAGGCTTCAAGCAGTTGGGAGACCAGGCTATTAATTTCAGTGCTTCCACTGACCAATCACAGGATCAAAATTTTAGTCAATGCTGGTCACGGGGCCTTAGTAACACCATCTGAAAATGAAGGGCATAGACTAAATTTTTTCTGTTTAATCAGTGCTATAACTTGAAGAATTTCTTTTATTTAGAGTATACTCCCCTGAGAAAGCCCTTATATAAGAATAAGAAGGAGAGAGTGATGAAGAGTGGGGAATAGCTTCGTTTTTTATACTATTGTTCTTTTTCTTCTAGAACACACTAGGGATACACAAATACCATGTTTATTTGCAAAAGGATTCTGTGAACTTCATCACACCAATTTAATTA